CAGGAATGATATTCCTTGTAAATGATGCAGGTCCTTGCTCTCCACCTCTGTTCCTCTGCAGATGATTGACTAACTGGGTTTTGACAGAGCAGGTGGAGAGAGTCAGCCAGACCCTTTCCTTCTTTATCCAACAGGCTTGTATGCTGTAGGACACTGGCAACCTGGTCTAACTAGTTGTGGGTAGTTTAATAAGCATTGCCTGGGAGCACAAACAACTTCATTAGGTCTTCTCCTCCAGCCAGCAGACCTCTCTTCTGGGATCGCTGACCTGCAGCTTCCAGCAGCAGGTCAGCACCTCCCTGCTCATAGTTTGATGCCGTTCCTGATTCAGGACACAGCTGCAGGCTTATTAAGCCTGCTGTGCCCTATGACTTTTGCCATCCCAGTTTGTGATGATAAGCCATGGAAAAGACCATAGCAGCCCTCTGAACTGGATTTGTCAGGAAACTCTGATATGTTCAGTTAGAGTGGGGATGAGTATTGATGACTTCCTATACAGACTACAACAGTCAGCAGTTGTCAGCATTACAAATACTTCACTAGGGGCTATGCTGTAGTCTCTCATCTCTTGAAAAGAACAAAACCCAGATTCTCCCCTCTGTGACTTTATACAAAGAGTGGGTCTTACCCTATTATTTTCTTCTCCCTAATATTAACTAACTCATAACTTACATGATCCATGGCCCACAAAGGTATAGATTATTTTTTCCTCACTGAATGCTGTCACATCAAATTTCCAGTAGTTGCACCACAGCCTGGACAAGGTCCTAGCACAGGGCCATGTATCATTCATCACACTGACACGTTCTGTGCGGCTACCACAGGGAGCCTCTCCATCTATGGCTAGTTATGTTAGGAGGTGCTCTGTTTTCCCTGTACCATGCACCAAGGCAACAATAAAAACACAGCCAAGAAAAGAACCCGGTAAGATAGTTTAGAGGCGGTAAGCAATACCTGCTTGTGAGATCATCTTTGTTTTACTTCACATCTGTCTTGACTTATATTTATTCAGGCTAATGCAACTTCTCCCTGCCCATAAGCTGCTGAGATCACAGTCCAGAGGCTTTATCATTAATCATTCCTCATCTCTCCATCTTATTCAGAGCCATGCTAGATGCCTGGTTCACTGAAAAAGAGCTTCCTGGGAAAAATAAAGATTCATGTATGTTCATATTCTTATCAATAAACTCCCTCTCAATGGAAACCCTAAAAAGTGGCCTCTTGTGAATTGCGTTAGCAGCAATATGAACATGGACAGCTGTTGCAAGGTGTTTGCAGAGATCTTTACCAGAGATCTTGCTGCCAATCCTTTTGTCCTGGATGGGCAGACAAACACAGAAGAAAAAGACAGCTCCTGTCCTGAGCAGCTTGTACTCGAGCCTACAGGAACAGTCCCATTCATGTTTCTGCTCCAACCCCATCAGTGGTTGAAACCTTCCTGAGGGCCTTGCTCCTGGGTGCTGTGGCAAGTGCCATGAGACTGGTACCCATGTAAGGTGGCAGCCTGAGAGGTGGTGGCAGGGAGACAAAGCTACATTGATCCTTATGGGACTCAGCTCAAGGTTGAACAATTGAGGCTTTTACTGGTTGTGCATAACCAGCTGAGGAACAAACAATTCCATTTTCCTAGAGCAGCTACAGAGTGTGAAACCTGTATAAAACCACCAGGTATCTTATTCCTGATCCAACTCAGCTCAGCAAGTCTGTTTCATAGAGAAGAGAACAGTCTGCATTCTCACAAATTCCACCTGACAGTCTAAGGATACCCACTTTGGCTCAAAAAAGAAGCTTAGTTATTACAGTGGTAATCACAGCATAAAAACCAGTCTAGAGCAAAGCAGATGAGTATTGATTGCAACACCCAAGTTTCATGTCAC